TTCACAAACAAGAGTTCAGAAATATGGTATATGAAGCTGATCTGTATTATTAGTTACACAGTCAGTTAGTGACCTAATACGGATTCATACTTGGTGTGAAATGGAAATCCGTATTGGGACTCGGCTTCGCACCCTGTATGAATCCGTATTAGGTCACTAACTGACTGTGTTACGAATTTATCCCGCTGAAGACCTTTTTCGATATAAAAAAATATTTGTGCATATTATGAAAATATTAAGTTTTAATCCAATAATAATCAACATAAAATATCGTGACGGTAACAAGAAATTTAACTAAACTACCTACATAAACCGTTTCTTTGCCGCCATGTTTATTTACAATAAGAACGCTTCGAACGGAATTGCGTGTCCGATTTTCATATTACACCTCGACGGAGACGTAATACGGAAAATTTCAGGGCGTCATGTGATCAGCCTTTATCCAATCGGCAATCTACAAATTTGTCTGAAGCGGGATAAATCACTATATGGTTCCCTTTTCAGTCAGTTATAGCTGACTAATCGCACTGGTTGCCGAATTGACTGGAGAAGTAAAGTCGAAAAAGATGCAAGAGGTACACATGATGCCTGCAGTGTATTATTAGTAGGTAGCACATCTACTGCGATGGTTGCTGCACACGTGGTTAATATCGTCGTTGGGGATGTTCATACTTTAGATATGCCATGGTAATTCTCGCATCGGGTAATATGGATGGGCGCTTAGTCCTGGATCTATTTGCCCTGATTACGTTCATATTTCCGACGTTGGACGGTAAGTGGAACACAAGATGAAGATGAATATTGTTGAGACTAAACTCGATGCTGAGCTTCAGTGGATGACGGAAGATGGAAAGGAAGAGCAAATGCACATGCGTAATGGATGCAGCTAAATGAAGTCAGTGCATTTGAGTGAGAGTTATCTTTCCTAGACTTTTTATCTCTATTTGTCTCCGTAACGGGACTTAAGGGGTCCCGACCCTCTGCTATCAAATTTCACTCAGAAAATTTAATATTTCTAATGTTGATTTTCATGATCAACAATAACATTAGATCCACATGGAAAATAGTTTGATGTAAGAAGCGCAGCTTATTTGTTCAGAAATGATTTTTATGTCAGATCATGATATGAAGAAATTTCAACATAGAGAACAGAAACAGTAACGATTTATTATCATAACATTTAATTTGATATATGAGGTGTATATGAAAATAATACTTAGTATAATACCTATCAAAATCATGCCAGAAAACAGCATGAAGCGATGCTTCCTAAGTCAGAAAATTACAGTGTTGTATGTGGTTGTGAGAAAAAAATACATCTGTGAGGAGGAGTTATCTTTCTTCTAAAGATTTCTTCATATGAAAAACATGTCATACTTATAAAAATTCTGTATTAAGTACTTGAAACATTAAACCATTATTAAAATGGTCTTTTAAAAAATACAACTTATTCAATTTAAAATGCTTTTGAAGTAGGATTTAAATGTGTTATTGTAAGATATAATAAAACAATTAGTAAGAGATTGGCAAAAGAAATAGAAAGTTATGTTTCCATCACATGTTAGATTTCAGCGAATTGACTACTCAGAGGTCTAAATTAGGAAACTCTGATTAAGAGAACTGTGAGTAGTATTCATATTTTGTACTCTGACTGTCTCGGAGAGTTATCTGTCATATCAGAGGGTCTGTACCCCTTAACTCATATTGAGATAAGTCGGATTAAAAATTTTAGCCCAATACGTTCATTATTTGCCAAATTATGATAAAATAAAAACGACATAATATGATCACCCGGTGCTGTCTTCATTTAGTTTCATGACGTAAGACAACGTCATTGTTTTTCAATGTCCGCATCTGCTATCTCATACACTTTTTTATAAGATTCCCTGGAGCTGATTACTAAAAGGACTTAAACCCGCCTTGTTTTAATGACTTTACAATGTCATAAACAGCGGCTTTAAATTCAATAAATATAATATTCCAAATTGATTTATACATTGGGAGAGATCCTCGCTTGATTGTGCAAGAATATTTTGCTTTTGGGAGTTACATGACCAACGTCATTTTTGACGTGTTAGATTTTTCACACCTTGAATACAAATAGACATTAACTGTGCATCCCTTTTCTCTTTGAATCTATTTTGACATTAAAAGACAAGTACTCTGGATGCATATTATTTCTCTATGGCCAGTTTAAATATTTCTTAGGTCCAAATCATTTTTTTTCAGGGGCAAAACTTTATATAGAATATTGGAAAAGGAAACCCTTCCCCCTTCTGTCGTCATTTTCAAGGCCTTATTTGATTGGACGCTCCATGTAAAATTCACGATAAAATTTCATAAAACTTACAGAATGTAGTTAAAATTTCATAGTTTATGGAACAATTATGTCCCAATAAATATCTGAATTAACGGGATTTTTGGATGTCAAATGTTCATATCAAAAGAGTTTCTTCTCATTTACACATAGGTCGCAAAACGTCGCCTTCGAGATTGCGCCGCCTGGACATATCATTGCTTACAAAAACATTACTACTTTATTTAAAAAATAAAATGATTTATATTTTATTCTTCAGATAGAAAAAAAGATGCTATCTTGATATCATAAAATTCATTGATGTACCTAAAGCAGTTTTAATTTTATGGCGCTAGTCCACGAACTTTTTGATAACCCCTCGTACTGTAAGAGAAACTTTGTGTAATTAATATTTTATCAACAACAACAAATTTTATATGCCAAGTTAAATTTTTGAAGAATCATCTACATCTTAGGGTTTTTCGGTACATTCAGAATATTCAAGAAATGCTTATATTATTACATATTTTAACCCTATTATATAAAAGGAAAGCCACAGAATTCAACAAATGCAAGCGGTAAAAATAACATCAATAGATGCACTGTTATCTTCTCAGTAAAATAAGCAGAGTTTAATAGTTCTAAACGATTGAAATTTATTCTTTCAGATTTTTTTTAACAATTATAATCTATTATATACAGTGTGTGTGTAATTTTTTCTTTTGGTCAGACATATTTCAGGTAAATTGTTAGGCCTCTGTCTTTAAACCCAATTTAACTACGGAATATTCCGTCTTCCTGGTCGATACAAAGCGAGCAATGGGAGAATTACTCCTCACCCCTGTATAACCCCTACTAATGTTATTGTGATTTAAATTCAAGACACGTGGTCTGGGTTTACCTATTCAAAGGTTATAGGGTAGAACCGGTTTTATAAATAAAATTGTCAGTAAACAGGAAATTGCTATAGTCTATTTTTCTGAAAACATGTCTTGTGAAAAATGTGTTTCCAGACCTTTCTGAAAGACTTTCATGATTTTCAACAGAAATGGGTGCTAAAAAAAGGGGGTTAACAATTAATATATCTTACCATAATTTACTACAAAAATTACAGCTCACTAGCGACCGATACGCTGGTAGAAAAATGTATAAGATCATCTACACTGACAAACCTTTGTTTGCCTTATATGATTATTGCTATTAATGCGCACAGAGGAAGTTACCACGAGCAACTGACCAATTGTTGATTGAATACGTTTGTACGCCAAATATATGTTTACATGTTACTTCGAACACGTGGTTCACGTCAATTTATGATCATGTCAATGGAGTGCAAAATAATAAAAATGTTCTTATGAACAAAATGCAAACATTAGAAACTATGAAAGATATCACGGGCGTTTTTAATTTGTTGTTAAATAGAAAAAAATATGTTTAATAAAATTAATAGTAGTTAATGTCATGTTCAGAACACCAACACTTCAAGGGTAAGGAAAACGAGCAGCTTCTCGTATGTATTTAAATGGACAAAACATTTTTTATATAACTATACTTGTGATCACGTGTGTTGGCCAGGGAATCCACCTGGCAATTGTATTCACCGATAGTACAATAAAGGAATTTATCAAGCGTAAAATTCCTGTAGTATTCGTAGTAATCCATAATGCAATTCTCATTCAGCTGATTTGTCAGTTAAAGTCACATTGGTGCCTCATTTGCTAATCTGACGCCAAAAAATATAGTCCCGGTTCCCATGCGAAATAGTTGGCCAAAAAGAAATTTTAATTCATGACAGCAGAAAATTGTATCATAGAGAATACTTATAATTTAAACTTGGATGAATTCAAGACAGATCGATTGAAGTACATTCCTACAGAATGATATGATCGGGTGGTGAAAACTAAAACGTTACGCAACATAACTTTTCTGTTTACCATGTCTCCACGTGCTAGTCACTTCCTAGCCACATTTCCGTGAATAATTTACCCTATCTCGCTGTAGTCTCGCTTACTCTCGCCAGCGCCACTGCCAGAGCTACTCTGAACTCATCGGGTTTTATAAATTGCAGAACACCGAAAAATAAAAGGTTCCGAACACATTAGTAGGGGTGTGTATGTTTATCCTCAAACAGATTAATACTGTTTCTAGGTTATTTTGAGATTGATCACAGTTTATCTTTATCTATTCAATTGAAGATAAAAATCACATTTCTTAAACTGTTTCAAACTTGGAGTAGGAGAGAATGAAATGACAAGTTTGAAATGACTATACAAAAATTTTTTTTCTCGATTATAAATGAATATACTTCAAACTTGTTCAATGGTATTTGATTGAAACAATTTTTTGGAGGGTATATAAAATAAAAAAAAAACCCCGCTGAAAATCATTAAATGATTACATATAATTTATTTTAATTTTGGGGGAAATAATTATATATATGTTAAAAAAATAATTATAATCAGTGAAAGGAAAGTTTAGAAGTACTAAAAAAGTCCAATATATATATATATATGCTTATTTCAAAGAGCAATTGCCGGCTTAAAATAAGTCAACCCCATAGTCGCCATTTTAAAGTTATGCAAAAATATAATTCTTACTCTCAACCGCTTTTGAGATAATACAAACGCTAAATAAAGCAACAAAAATAAAACGAAGTTTTATCTATATAAATAAACATTAGTAGTAATGACTTTGAAAACTTCAGTTCTAAGTCGAAGAACATAGTTCATTAGCGTAAGGATTTTTGATAATCAGTGCTACCGTAGTTCTCTATATACGAGGTAAAGCAGGAGAGGGAACCAGACTGGACTGTTTGTTTACATTCAGCTGCGGTACCAGATTAATTCTGATTCTGACAAAATCGGACCGTGGTATTGGGATTGAAAAACTCACTGTCAGTGTCTTATCATTTATATTGATAGTTTTAAAATATTTTTTTCATCAGAATATAAACGTGATTCATGTAAGAAATTCATTCTACTCTGTAAATGAGCCCGGCTCTCTGTACTTCTGAGTACTTTGATTTCTCCACGGCATCTGTTCCCGCTTATAATTTAGATGTCCAATGTGCTCTTTTCCTATGTACTGTTTTGAAAGACTTTTGAACTTGAATATTCTTCGTTCATATCTCATGCAGTTTTATAAACACTATAAATATTTAATAAAAATACCTATATCAATAACATGTAGTTTTTAGAGAATTGTTTGGATTGCTATGTGTCCCATCATTAGCAGACTTATTCCTATTTATGTAATGAAAAATGATTTATTGAAAATTTACCTGAAAATGGTTTCTTGGTGAGGCCATTAGCTTGAAATTTAGATGTATTATCGATATTTCATCAATCAATATTGATTCACAACGAGTGCCCTGAATAGAAATTTAGAGAAAAAAGAGACGAATATATCTTTTTCATACATATGGTTGTTTTACTAGAGACATTGTTGACAATCTTACAACTAAACTTTATGATAAAGATGATGAATTCAATTTTTCTATCGTCAACGTCCCTCATTTTAATAACACTACATCATTAACACCTTGAAACATCTTTAAATAAAAATTAAAATTCATTTTGTAGATTTAGCAATATTAAGGACTTGACTTTCTTGTATGTTTAAAAATGATAGGTTTTTTTTGCAAAATTCACATCTATATCTTCTCCCATCATTGTTTTAAAATTTCTGTTAATAAAGTTACTATGACTGCACACTTTTAACTTGTGTTAATTGATGAATTTTAATCATTTTAAGAAATGAAAATTCAACGACTAAAATATTCCCAGGTACAATAATTTAAATTTACTGTCGGAATTGTGAAGTTGTTACAATCCTTCTCAAACAATATAAAAACCTAGTAACATGTACAGGCATTAAAAAAACAACACTTTTTATGTTCATGTTATGTTCTGCGTTAACGATTCGATTGAAGGTTACAACATACATATACCTGTTGTAGCCCACCAATCGAGAAATTAACAAATTACCTTACATTACCTTACATCTGTGATCACTCTGTCATCACTCCGATTTCATTTACCTGTTCAAGTCAATCTCTTTATTTACTCTAGTTTTCAATTACAATATTGTTTGTTTTGGTTTTTTAGTGATTTGTAAATGTTTTCTAGTTCTCTAAATAAGCAAAGTATTTAACATAAGTACCTGTCAGCTTGATAAAAATACAAAAATTTGGACCAAAGCAGATTGTAATGCTCGTTTTTTGTTGCGTGTATATTTTTTCATTCTCACAAAGACGGGTATTTTTCTTTAAAAATTGTCTTTTTCTTGATAAGCAAGTATGATCAAATATAATATATTATAACAATACTGTAATATATTCATTTAATACAAATTATATTCTGTCGCACTGTGAAATGATATCAAAACGAAATCTTTTCACGATGTGACAAATATCAGAACTGGGGTTGTACTCCTTACTGTAAACAAGAATAATGTAAGAAAAATATACACCTTGACTTGCTACAAAAAGTGTGGGTAAATAAACCATTCATACAAAGAATAAAACGGCAAAACTTCCTCCAAATATGTTGTTGAAACTCATGTTTACAATGTTTTCAATTTACATCACATAGCTATGATGTTTAAGCTGCTCAACTATGACCTCGTGTAGCATATGACGCTGTTTCACAGAAAGATAAAGATATCAAGGAAGTTTTCTTGGTCGCAATACACTCGCTTTTCAAACACAATAAGTGAATAGTAGCTGATGTAAAATGCAATTAAGACTCCATTTTACGAGGGATTCTAAAACACATTATTTAATGAAACATATAGAGTTCAACATATGGAGAATATGGAGATAAAATATATAAGATAAAAAAATCCATAAAACAGTACAAAAAAGGAGCAGAGGAAGCATGGACCTCCAAAACATTAAAGATGGGATCAGGTGCTGACCGGTTACACCGACCGTGTTCTCCTTCTCATGATCGGGAAATAAGGGCAAAATTCCGTCGTCCATTCAGTGTATAAATAATGTATTACCAATTAGTATGAATAACGTCAGTCAGCATTTGACTCAATGATAAAATTTATTTGCTGAAAAGATCATTGTATTGACCATAATCTAAGGAAATGATGACTTTAAACTATTAGAAATTGTTCCTCCTATCGAATCAACTAAGAGATATAAACTCAGTATGCAAATGATGAAGGTATATTGCTGCATAAGTAAGGAAAGTTGACGATTTTCAAGTTAAAGTCGTCATGTTTATCAAAGAGCTTTGTTGTTAGATTCCCATTAACGTCTTTTTCAAGTAAAATATCCAAATATATGAAACAGATGTGCAAGACTCTGTGGTATCTTGTATCTCAAGCTCTCAGGGATAAATCGTATCGACAAAAGAATCGAAATAACCATTGTTTATTGACAATATGTCGTGGGTTTATTACAGTCGAGTTGAAGGATCTTCAGTGTACTTTTTATTAACTATTCCATAGAGCCTGCAAAATCTGTTTCGTATTTTGATGTTTTATTCCGTATAAGAATTATTAACAAAGTGTAAATAAAGTTTACTGTAAAAAAAGGATGTCTAAATTTTTTCAACATCAAATTTTATATGTAGTTATATCCAAATAATAACTACGTTTGGTTGATTGAGGGATCAAAGCATGTTCTGAATATGATCAATTTTAAAACTGGGGTAGACTACTGATAAAAAAGTTAATGCAACATATTTTCAGACGCTTCCATTTATGTTGAGAATATTGCAGATTATATGGTTGATATCAAACCTCCATCACCTGCAAACGGAGTTTATATATCTCATTTGATTCGATACGCAAGAGCTTGCTCTACCTATAAACAATTTCTTAATCGAGGTAAATTATTGACAAACAAGTTGATGAAACAAGTTTTTAAGCAGTCTCGTTTAAAGTCATCATTTCCTAAGTTTTATGGTCAATATAATAACCTTGTCAGCAAATACAATTTACCATTGAGTCAAATGCTGACGGACTTTTTTCATATTTATTGTTTATCATTTATAAACCGAATTGATGACGGATTTTCCCGTTAATTCCCGATTTTTACAAGGAGCACACGGTGGGTGTGACCGGTCGGCAGGGTATGCTCACTCCTCCATGGTATCTCATCTCACCTCTGGTGTTTTAGAGGTCCGTGTTAACTTTGCTCCTGTTTTGTATTGTTTTATGGACTTTTGATCTTGAATACTGTTTGTTATCTCCATATGTTTCATCATAGAATGTTTTATAAGGAAATGCAACCAAAAACATTAAGTAGAACTTTTGCTACTTTTTGACTAATGTTCATATCAGATTTTATATGAAACATAGCGCATGTCATTAATGAAAAATATTAATCAAGAAATACAGAATATTTCATATTTAATATTTATCACAATTACTTGTCAAAGCATTCAGTCATTCATTGCAAAACAATTTTACTTATCAAAAACTTAACCAATAGTGTCATTATTTATCATTACTTTCTCTTAATTTCCAATCTTTCACGGTTATCTTGGATAAGTATAAGATACGCTATGATATTTGATTAAACATGTTGCTGGCCGGCTGCTTCATTGGTTGAAGTAAACTGCTGGCTTGCTTCACCAGTGGTTGAAGTAGGTTACTGGCTGGCTTCACCAATGGTTGAAGTAAACTGCTGGCTGGCTTCACCAATGGTTGAAGTAAACGGCTGGCTGGCTTCACCAACGGTTGAAGTAAGTTGCTGGCTGGCTTCTCCAACGGTTGAAGTACGTCGCTGGCCTGCTGCACCAGTGGTTGAAGCAACTCACCGAGATTGAGGAAATTTTCATCAAGCAAAACATTGAGCAGTGACGTAACCACTTTGATGACTTCCCTTAGCAATGGATATAACTGCGGTAAGTAATCCTTGATCAGATTCAGAAGAGCTCCAACCAGTTCTTTTAAAATGTTCCTCCAGTTTGGAAGCGTCGCTTCAAGAAGAGCCACCAACTTTTTCACGACATCAACTAAATCTTTAGAGATTGTTTTTAAAAGCTCTGTCACTTGATAGAGTAGGATGTTGACGAAGGGTAGTAATGGTTCCAATAAAGTCGCTAGCTTTTGAAAGAGTTGCTGCAAAGATGTCTGACGATTAGATTGGGACATGGAAAATATCTGTGAGAACAAGGACTGCAACTGTGAGTTCAATATTTGGGGTACTTGAGGATTTTGAGTTCCATGACCTTTTCTTGCATTTTCTGTAAAACAGTCATAGTTTCCTTTTCCAAATAAAAAATGAATTAGATTTATATCGGTTATGAAAAGCTTAGAATGATGGAATAATGAATCGGAAATCGTTTTAAACACATCCTAAAATGAGAGATCAAATAATTAACAATGGAAAATACAAGATACTCACTTTGGGAAACAGCCAATGCAAGAAACAAAAATAAAATATATATCTGCAGCCTCATTTTCCAACTGTGAAATCTGAGAATAATTCCGGTTTACGGCGTCTTTCCTCTGAAGGACAGTGGGCGAGTGTTTGTCATTTATCACTTATCTTAATTGTCTTAAGAAAATTTTAATATTTATAAAAAATGCTTGAATAACAATTTAAAATTCAGTAAAACTCTATGTGGACACCAGCCTTCAAGATTCTTTTTATGGCTATGAAACGTAAATACAATGTTAAATTACGCCTGATTTTTTTAGATGTCTTACTTAATTCACGTTTGTGTCTAAAGGAACTTTGCATAACATTAAGATTTATGTCATGTGGACACATTTTGCATGTTCTTGGTCAAGGTAATTAATGAGGTTTGACAACCATCACAATCGTTTCCTGTGTATTAGCCATGGTGTTGCTCGTAACATCTCTTGATCAGTAATTAACTTTTCCTTTATGTATCATGCATACATATATAAGCAGTTGAAAACCAAACTTAAGCAAATTACATCACCATAAAACCTCCAATTTGCAAGTTTCTTGTGTCAATTTAGAACAACTTTAGTCGAATCCAAATTTTTATAATTAATTAAGCAGAGAAAAAAATTAATTACAAAGAAAAGAAAATGATGTAATATGTAGTGAGAATTTAATTAACAAGAGAAAATATGCAAATATGTAAAAAGTTAACTGTTAAATTTTTGTCAATTTTTCTACAAAACTTAAACTAGGTGTTATATTTAATTACACAAAAGTGTTATCATAATTAAACTCTATCGTGGGAATGTATATCAAAAAGGACATAGGTATTGCATCTTTCTTTCTATTTTTGATCACAAAATAACTGCTAAGCTACCTCTTCGTATTGCACCTGAACACGATACAATATGGGCTTCAAACAAGAGGTCCATTGGCCATATTGATCATTGATCACGTGAGCCAGGAAGAAAAGGATACACTTTGAAAGGATGCTCCCATAGAAAATTTTTTTATTTACCTAAAAAAGTTCCAAAAATAATGATTTTAAACATATACAATCAATCATTTTTTCTTAGTACAACCCCGATCTTTCATTTTGGTCCCACCCTACTCACCCTTAATGTGAACAAATTTGAATCTAAACCACTAGAAGATGTTTCTATAATGATATGACGAATCACGACTTTGATGTTCTTGAGCAGAAGATATTTCAAGATATTCCTGTATTTTTCTTTTGCGAAACTTGGTTGATCCTCTGTTGAAAAATGATGGAACATGCTGGCGATTTGATTATTCTTTTTCAAAACAAACTTGATTTTAAACATACAATCAATAATTTTTCCTGTAAAAATATGACAAATAATAACTCTTTATACAGTAATTTGTTCTTGATTTTAAAGATATTTCCTATGTACAAGCGTTTCGAAGTAGAAAATTATTTATGAAGAGAACGTTTCAAAAATGGAAGCAACTACTGTAATTTTAATTTCTTATAACAAACCTATGACTAACGTGGCGAGGAAATTCGGATGAAATCTGTACATACGTAAAAATTTTTTGTTGTGAAAGAACCTGATAAAAGGCGAAAATACCCTATGTCCTTCTGTGCGAATAAATAAATAATAACTTAAAGCATAAAAGGCTTTCAGTTTATAGAAATCTTTCAAAGAAACAAAAAAATAACTCTGCAATGTTTTTCGGCCAAAATTGCAAGAGAACGTTTTAAAAATGTAAGCAAGTGAGCTGTAATTCGTGTGAACATACTTCCGTGCCTTATAGTTTGAATATAAAACCTTTTGATCTGCACACCCCCCAACGGTCATGAACAGGTCATAAAAATCATGAAAGCGCGTATACTTAATTGTCTGTTTGTTTGCTTCACCACCATCATAACATCACGTCCTCGTAGCATCGAGCTATTGTACGCGTTTTAGCATAATGACGTCAGCATACTAACGCTTCCCGTGGGATAGCTTCATCGCATTCTGGTCTCATCGCACACTCAATCCAAACCTCAATGGTGACATGGCGCGATGAAAAAATGTAATCGATGACCTTTTCCTGATTTAAAAAAAAATTCACAATGTCTGCCTCGTCAGTTGACTGATGAAGAAATTCTATGCATTGTAGCAGGTTTGACTACTTAGATAATATGTTTTACGGTGTGACCGTTGGGGCGAGCGCAGTTTATTTACTATCATAAACCTACACATGTTCTGTCTATCATTCAAGAAAAAGAAAGCAAAAAGAATAAAACAAAACAATAAAAAGAAATGAATTTTTCGGAAGTTTCCGACAAAATCGGAAATACCCGAACCGTTGAAGTGACGAAAGTATGACGTCATAAAAAGTTCTGTGCATTGCAAGAGATTGCATTAAATCGTTCTTTTCAAGTAACTTGTTTTAGCCAACATGTTGCTACAACATGTTTTAACAGTTTCACGGAAGAAACCGACATAACTTCGTCTGCGTAAGTTTCCGGTGACGTCAAATATAAGGTGAAGGCCGGTGTTGTAATTTTTTTGAATAAGGTAAGGCAAAATCAAAACAGAAAACATGTTCCTTTAATTTTTTTTTTACTATTTTTGATATTTGCGCAAAGGACATTGGGTAGTATATATATATATATATATATATATATATACATATGTATGTACGCTGCTGCGCTGCATTATTTTGAAGTTCTAAATTTCATAACGTCTTAGAAGCATTTTGTAATGAATTTTTCAAGAACTGCACTAGACTGACTCATGTGCATTGCAAAACTAATTGCCTAACTTGCAACATTACATTAACAACCAACAATCGTCTGCATAGAAATTTATTATAACAATAAAATAGAAAACAGTCTTAAACCATGTTTGATATAGTAATATATATATATATATATGTATGCATTATTTTGAAATGTTTAGTAACATTTTTATTATGTTTTCCATTAATATTGTGACTTTGAATATCACTGCGTTCATGATTCGGTCAGCTGATGATCTTTAACCACCTAATTAGTTTAAAAAACCAGAATTGCACATTTTCCTTCTTTAAAAGGTTTATTTAGAAGAAAAAAACATTTGCAAATGTAAATATTTTCCTTTAAACTATAAATTTTATTTAGATTAAAGCAAAAAGAATACCTACAATAAAATCGTGAGTTTTTCTTTTCTCAATGCTCGGATTATGACGAATACCTATGTATTTAATCTGAAATTGTATTAAAACTAGGCACTTTGAGCAATGAGCTCAGTAAATACTGTACGTATACATAAATTTGTGTACTCAAATTTTAGCGCATTCAATTGGTATGTAGCTGTTGGTGTAATCATGAATCAGCGCTGCACATATCCGTGCCGTGTATAGTGTAGATAAATTATTTTTTAGCGGTATTCATGAATTAGCGCATCATTGTCCGCGCCAAAGCCGCTAAGACATGAAGCCCGCTTTTTTAAGTACATATACAGTAATACCCTGGCCTCCCATATGGTAATAATGTTCAAGTGTTGCTCTGGGAAATCCGAAGTAATTGTCAGATCAAAAGGTAAAATAGGAGATGGACAATGGTATTATTTTTAAAAAAAAAAAAGAATATGTGAAAGTGTCATTAAACTTTATTCAGTGGTATAGGAAGATTATCAGATAATAAATGGGTAAATTTCAATATAAAAGAAAGAATGGTCATGTCCATATTTTGCTCTGGGAAACTCAAAATATGCCTCCAATAAAAAAGTTAAATAGGAGGTCACAATGCATGGAACTATGTAACAGAGATTCTGTGAAAATTCACATTGAATAACATTCAGTGGTATAGAAGGAGTTTCGGATAAAATATCGGTACTCCAAAGCGTAACAGACTGATTGACATACATACAAACAGATGGACAGACATTCCTATTACGATCTACACTTTCGCTTTTTAAGCGATGTGGAGGAGGGGTTATGAAAATCAATAAATATTGATAGATCAATTCTCAATCAGAAAATGAACAATTGTTGCTCGTATTCGCATTTCCTGAATATCGATATCCTGATTTTATATCTTCCTATATAATATGATGAACTTGTTTTATGAAGTTTGTGAATACAGTCATATTTTTATGAGCATTTTCAATTCTTATCTACCGATGAAAAGACCATAAGGGATGGAATATATTTAACATCTTTTTACTTTCATAGCAAATTTAACCATCAAAACGATCAAAATCATCAAAATTAAATTAACGTTTTGAAATTTTACAAGTAATGCAAAGAATATATGGCATGACAGGATATGTTTAATAGATCACAATTGTACGAAATATATGAGCTACGTTATTTTTACGTACCATAAGCAAATAAAACAGATTGTGATGACAGTACGAGGGTTGTCCCAAAATTTCGTAGACTGAGCTCATATCTTTTAAAGCAATTAATGTATCTTTAAAAAATTTTCAGGGTGGATAAAGCGTGTTCTTGGCAGATAAATTATGAAGTTTAATGATGTTTACTTGAAAACTTTTCGAGAAATAACATTGAAAGTGATATCGTTCTCTAACACCCGGAGCAATCTGCAACGTCAAAAAATACAAATGTCAACAGTTCAAATTTTAGGAGAAAATCTTTCAATTACCAGAATTAAATTCTTAAATTAAACGAAACGGTTATAGTTATTAATGTGAAATATCTTAATAACTATGATATGATCAAACATTAAAATATGTAAACAAAGTATATGCATGTACAGGTATGAAACAATAATAATTTAAAAACGCTACATTTCTACGGGCTTTTCGTCTGTTTTCTATAAGGGAGTTGCACAAGGCAACTCTTGCCCATTTCTTAGCCCCGTCTTTTATATAAGCTACTGTTATTCACATATACATAGAGAAACCGTTTTAATCATTTTAAATACTCAGAATGAGAAAAAGTTTTCTAGTCTACCAAAACCGATATGACTGGTACATTTTTGTAAGAGTGAATTCAGGATCAAAACACTTGATCATAGTTCAGTGCGCCGCCTGTGCCAACGCAGCCGCCATTTTTCAGAAAGTCGGAGTTCAACCTCGTGTATATAAAACGTTACAAAAATCATATTTTTCAAAGCATAAACACCAAAATTTGGGGAAATGTAGTTTATAGAACAGTATTAAGAATTTTCATTTCCATTAAAAAATACGGGGCAGTAATTACTTTTCCGTAGGATTTCAAATATAATGTACCAAATTTTAATTG